TCTGGAAATGTTTTTTCTAAATTGGGGGTGGGGACGACAAAACATTTGACCGGATTGCAATTCTCCATTCCCCCTTCCATCTTTTTGCCTTAGAAGTAATCCCCCCCCCCATAAAAATACATTTATTTTTAAAAAAAGGGTCTGCAATAGTAAAATTATTAAAGGGTCCCTAGGAGGGAGGGGGGATTTTTTTTACAAAATAACCCCTGATGTATGTTCTCATGGAGGAATCTCGTTGAGCACATGTTAAATTCATAAAGATTTGACTCATAAAGTACTTTAAGTACTTAAGTCTAAAGTTTAATTTACAGGGTTCCCCACATCATATCTGATTACTTAAAGAGCGCTTATTTTATGTACGACTATTAGTAATGTAGACGAAGGCAGTGCTTAAGATCAATTAAATTTTGATGCGGATCCGGATCCTGGATCCACACTGGAAATAAATTTACTGAATTTTTTAACAAAGAATTTTGTTGTCTAATTTTTTTCTTATTTTTATGCTAAAACTTGATGAACCATTTAGAAATCGGGAAAATTGTATAATCTCTCTTTTTTTTAATAGTTCAGATTTGGGGTTTGAGAGTAAAATTTTGTTAACAGTTTTGGTGGATATTTTGTCCCTTGGAGCCGGATCCGGATCCTAAGCACTGGCCGCAGGGGTGTATATTATCTTTAAAGCTTTTCCCCATTAAAATTCGAGTTTCGACTATAACGTTCTAAATTACAAATTTTTCATCTAATGTAAATTAAGCAATGCTATCTTGAAGGTTATCCTCAAAAATTGGCACTGGTGCCGTAATATATGCATGTCTATAGGAATAGTATTTTTTCCAATAGAATAAACTTGTCAAGATTTTCCTTTTCAATACTGTCCCAATCTTTATTTTTCGAAGGAAATTTAGGCTATTTTTACTAGAAGTGCGTCTTAATCCATTGTTCGTGTATTTCTATATTTTCTTATCGGAAATAATATCAATTACACCGAATCAGCGAAAAAACAATTTCACATTAACGCTTTCTAATTTCTTGAAATACAGGGTTATGATTTTTTACGTTTTGCTAATCTCATAATTTTCAGGCATCTGAGCTTCAAGTATGCAGAGCCATTTTGGTCTCAGTTTTTTCCCTACCTAGTCACTAAAGGTGAACATTTTATTAGTATTGCGCTTTTTTTGTCAATGATTGTTTTTCTGAATTGAAACTTTTAAGTGATGTCTGGTTCTGTGCATAAGAAGATTATCAAAAATTTGAAAAATTTAGAATATTTTAGATAATTGACTTATCTTATTACATTTATAAAGAATAATCTTGTGGAATAATCTTAGTGTATTATGGTTCAAGGAATATTGATTTTGCTCTCTATTTAATTTTAAAAAAAAATCTTATTATGACTTATCGATAACATTTACAACTCGTTAAAATAAGTGCACAGTTTAAATAAACGTGCTCTGGGAAACTAAGTTTTATATTTTGCTTAGTAAGCCCAAAAGTCGAGGAGAAGAAGATAAAAAGAAGAAGATAAAAAGAAGAAAGAAGACAATAAAAAGAAAAGAAAAAAACATCTGAGGAATAAAAGGCAAGGAAACATCTGAAAAGAATACCTAATACTTAAAAGAAATAAAAAATATAAAAGAAAAGAAGAAAAGAGGAGATCAAAAGCAAGAAAGAAAATCAAAGAATGGACTTTGATCGGCCTCATATGAACACTAATGAACCAATTTTCAATACAAGACAAGTCCTGGGATTTAAGGTAATTTAGTTTTTAGTTAATTAATCAATTATTCTATCGATAAATCAATTTAAAAAATTTTCAACCATTCAATCAATAAATCAATCAATAATTTCATCAGTAGATCACGCATTAAATCAATTAATCAAACATTCAATTAATAATTCAAACATCAATCATTAGATCACACATTTAATCAATTTATCAGTATCAATCAGTAGATCAAACATTTAATCAATCAATCAAACATCGATCATTGGATCACACATAATCATTAATCAAACATCAATGATTAGATTAAACTTTAATCAATTAATCAAACATTAATCATAAAATCACATATAATCAGTAATCAAACATCAATCATTAGATAACACATTTAATCATTAATCAAACATCAATGAGTAGATCAAACATTTAATCAATCAATCAAACATCAATCATTAGATCACACATTTAATCATTAATCAAACATCAATCAGTAGATCAAACATTTAATCAATTAATCAATCATTCAGTAGATCAAACATTTAATCAATAAATCAATTAATCAATCATCAGATCACACATTTAATCATTAATCAAACATCAATCAGTAGATCAAACATTTAATCAATTAATCAATCAGAAGATCACACATTTAAATCAATTTTCTAAGAGATTCAATTATTTAAAAAATAAAAATAAAAATTAAAAAAAATTAATCCAGATCGGAGATGTTTATCAAATTAGTGAAAACGCCCTGCAGACCCTTGATGCTATGGCAAGGTAAAAATGGTTAAAATAATCCATGTTTTTAAGATAAATAACCCATGTTTTTAAGATAAAATAACCCATGTTTTTAAGATAAAATTAAATGAAACCCTCGTTATCTCAACATGTTTTTTTACAGTCGTCTGCAAGAGGATGATTCCTCTCAGAAACCTTTCCGGCTTTCCATAGCTTATTTAAAGGTATGTATAGCATACTTATTTATAAAAATTACTGATGATNTCAACGTGTATTTATCCTTCAATTAACATGTACTTATCCTTCAATCAACATGTACTAATCCTTCAGTTCGAAAGATGGTTCCAATGGTTCGAAAGATGGTTTAAAGGGAATGTAGGCGTAATTTCAAGTGGACCTCTATGCAAGTTTCTCTTGAAAGCTTTGTCTGGTAAAGTTATAAATCAGATATCAATGTTTACAATTTTGATAACTAATTATTTTCAATTGTGGGCTTTCTACTAAAGTTACTTGCACATATCTTTTGCTTAAAAGAATAAAGGATTTATCAGCATTTTTTGCATGTTATCCGTTTCATGTTTTTACATATTTCTTTTTTAATATATTTTGTTGATATTTAGGTTATTGAGAACGATTTGGTTCCAATCCTTGAGAATGTTGGAAGTCGTGTCCCGCTATTTCAGGCCGTGGTCCGACTCCTCTCCATTCTTACAGCACCGAGGCAGAGTCTCACAAACATCAACTCAGGTGCGTGAACTGTACATTTTTACTTTTTTTGTAAGGGAATTGTAGTGTTAGTGTTGGGAGTTGTGGGACATAATAGAGTTTTGATTTCATATTTTGAAATGATAAGTATGGTATTGTAGAGTTCTGCTATATATATATATTTTAATATGCGAAAAGATTGTTAAAAGATTTAAAAAATATTTTTATTTTTAGAAGAAAGTTTTCCCGACCATCTGAATGGAATATTAGTTTCTGAGTTAAATAGAACTAAGGTAAAATACCACGTTGTGCCCTCAATGGTTTCTCTTCTCTACAACGTGCCAAGTCGGGGTTATAAAACGGAATTAGAAACATAACATTTGCGTTTCAGAGAATCCAGACTATTTCTCATTTATTTCTTCAATTTTTGGTTAAACGTAAATAAGTTTGATCTTTCTCTTATTTCAAACCAAAAGGAAGTACTATTTCAACAATTTTTTCTATTAGTCAAATGTTTTTATGTGTCCGAATTTTGTCAACTTTTACTATAAAGTTATATATTTAGCTTTTACTTTATTTATTTAGGAGTTATTCGCTAATCCGAGCCTAACAAAGGTTGTAATGCTCCACCTTAGGTAGGTTCATTTTTTCTTTTAAATCTCAATACTAGTATTATCATACTTACCGGTTACTTTTGTCCTGTAAGTGTTGCAATTATTGCTGTATTCTTCGCATCCTTTGATAAAATGCCAAAAATCAATTAACCAGTGTTTCTTATTCTGAATCAAAATGCCTTTACCAGAATCATAAATGTACATTGTACAAAGGCACTTACAGGAATTTGTCCAGGTTATACGCCTCTGAGTATGTATTTCACAGAGTTACAAGAACGCTTTCTAGATTCAGAACTTACACAAGCGGAATAGAGTCATGCTTCATTTTCAAATATTTAAAAATATAAAAACACAAACATAATTTCAGTACTCTCTCTAAAGCCACGAGCCTGTCTAAGACAGAACAAGACAACATCAATAACTGCTTGACTCTGATCAGGTGAATACCTCGTCTGAAAAGGATTGTTCATCTATTTCAAAATAGACACAATTCACCAATTTTTGGAATAGAATATCAACTTGAAAATCCAATTTCAAAGCACAATGATTTCTTGGAATCCAATTTGATCGATCAAACCCGGACTCGGGGTAAAATATATAACCAATCATATTTTAATTTTTGGCCAAACGATCTAAATTTACAAAATGAAGTCCAAATTAAAACGGTTTCACACTTATTCGCAAATTTTTCTTCATATAAGTTGGTGACAACTGAACTGGTTTGAAAAAACATTAATATCTTCAAACTTAATTAATATATCAATATCAATGTTTACAAACAAATTAATATTTTTTTTTCTCTCTTAGGAATATTTTGTACATTCCTGATTCATACAGCAGTCATCAGCACAATCTCATCATTTGGAACCTGTTCCAACAAAATCTAGATCAGGTAGCTGGTAGTTCGGTTTACTCCAGTTCATTCCAGTCTTTCTAATTCATTCCAATCTTTATAGTTCCAGTTTATTTTCAGTTTTTATAGCTCATTCCATTTAATTCAAGTTTATTCCAGTTAATTCAAGTTTATTCCAGTTAATTCTATTTTATCCGAATTTATTCCAGCTCATTCCAGTTTATTCCATTTTATTCCATTTTATTCAATTTTATTCCAGTTTATTCTAATTTACTCTAGCTCATTCCAGTTCATTCCAGTTTATCCCAGTTTAATCCATTTTATTCCAATTATTCTAATTTATTCTAGCTCATTCCATTTCATTCCAGATAGTTCAGTTTAATCCAGTTCATTCTAGTTCATTTTATTCCAGTTTAATTATGGTTTATTCCAGCTCATTCCGGTTTTTTTCTATTTTAATAGCTCATTCCAGTTCCTTTCAGTTCATTGTTTTTTTTTGGCATATTCCTGATAATTCCAGCTCATTTTTATAGATTATTCTGTTGCTAAACATAATTGATTAGGTTCTTCTCGACTCGATGGGCCACAAACACTCATCTGTGTGGTGTACAACTGTTGTTCAGATTATAGCTCTCATATACAAGGTAAGGTTAACTTTTAGGCAAATGTGGGGCCTTAGCCAGTCATAGCTGCAATGCACTTCTCTCAAGCCTGTCCTAGCACAATGCACTCTAGCCTGTCCTAGCCGCAATGCACTGCTCTAGCCTGTCCTAGTTTCTGCTGTCGGTTGAAAATTTTCCTTTTACCTGGCAAAATCACATTGTTTATATTTTGTCGGAAATGAAAGAAAATTATTTTTTCTCCCCTAAACCTTTCTGCTCGTTTTTGTGAAAAATAAGTTTTGATAAAAACATTCCTGATGTTTTATTTTTGGCTATTTCCTTGGAGCATATTAAGTTGTTTATTTCTATGAGCACTGTTCATTGTACATTCAAAGTGGATTTGTAATAATCTTTAAATCAACATGTACTTATCCTAGGAACAACATGTACCTATTTTTGGATCAACCTGTATTTATCTTAGGATCAATATGTACTTATCTTAGGATTCACATGCACTGTTTAGGATCAGCATGAACGTTGTTTAGAATTAACATGTACTTATCCTTCAATCAACATGTACTTTTTCTTCAATCAAAATGTACTTTTCCTTCAATCAACATGTACTTATCTTAAAATTAACATGTATTTATCCTTTAATCAACATGTACTTATCCTTAAATTAAAATGTACTTATCTTCCAATCAACGTGTATTTATCCTTCAATTAACATGTACTTATCCTTCAATCAACATGTACTAATCCTTCAATCAACATGTACTTATCCTTAATGAATGAAAGAAAGATTGTGGTAGACCCCCAATGTGGGATCCCCAGACTGCCATCAGACATTAAGGGTATTACGGTGCCCAAAACTCGTTCACCCGGTGCCTTGTTATCCTTACCCCTATGACCAGGACAATTCAAAGCAAAGCATGGTACTACCGGAAGCAGGCTAGTTACTCAACCTGGCGATAATTGTGTGCCCTCCAACCAAGAGATTTGTCAAGCAAAAGTTACCTGGAGTATTAGAGTGATTCAATCACTTTGTGCCACCATTCTAAGAGAACATGAACCCCTTTAGCTCTTGTCTTCAACTCCTTTACTTTAGCATTATCCCCCCCCCCCTTTAAGTTCCGTCTCAGTGTTGTTTTTGTTTCTCGGGAATTCTGTCGGAGAGCTGGGATAGAGCTCTGTGTGCACTCATATAATATGCTATGCCATTCCAGGATCATGTGCGCCTCTGACAACTTTGCTATCGCTCCAACAATGATACAGAATGGACAATATGAGTATACTTTGCCCAGGGCAGTAGGTCTTTAATATACCAGCCCCGAGTCTCCTGCTCTGACTCAATTCTGAGTGCGGATTTCTTCACTATCATCTACATGATCTTGGAGCTTAAACCACTTTGGTGATTGTGGCATAGAAGCTAGTGAAGACATATCACTCTTCATGTCAAGAATGTTAACCACAGCCATATCCAGTAAGCTTCTCTTAAGCAACCGCTTGGGGCTGTTGAACAGACTACCCCCCAGCATAGAGACGGTAACCCCGTCAACTCCTGGAGCCCTTTGGGTCTTCAGTTTGCTGATTATATGAGAGATCTCTTGTTCTGATACTATAGCGCACATATTATCCTTATGTGACACAGGATTTGTTGGATTAATTATCCATTCTTTCCATCCATGATCGTCTTTGGCAGCTAACTCTTGTATTAGTTGTTCGCCTCGGTGAGAAATGATGTGAGATTGTTTGCCTGATCAGATTTTCTCTAGCTCTTCTAGCACTATCTGTTCAATCCTTTTTTTGTTGGAGGCTGCTGTGAGGGAACCGGCTTTTTTCTTACCCTTCTAACTAAGCTCCAAAACTGTTTGGCAGTTAGTTTGTGGTGATTGGACAATCTCACTCTTTTTTGTTTTTTCTGCCTATTGAGTAATCCTGACAAGTTCACTCTCAGATTCTTCGCCTGGATTCGCATTGACTAGTTTCTTAAGTTTCTCATCCTCTCTCGTGGTCCTTGGAACTGGCCTTTAAGTTTTCCATGGTTCTTATGTTTACTCCTGCTTCTACCTGTCTGCAGACCCCCTGTAACCTTCTGGCGGACTTATTGGAGCGGCCTCCTGTCTTTTTTGTTGCAACTTGACTACATGCTTTTTTTTGTAGCATTCACCAGGGCATTTTGCAAAGCAACACATTTATCTTGTGTTCTCCGAGTTTCCCAATTTTCCTTAAATTGACATGTACTGATCCTTCAATCAACATATACTTATCCTTCAATCAACATGTACTTATCCTTCAATCAGCATGTACTTATCCTTCAATCAACATGTACTTATCCTTCAATCAACATGTACTTATCCTTCAATCAACATATACTTATCCTTCAATCAACATGTACTGATCCTTCAATCAACATATACTGATCCTTCAATCAACATATACTTATCCTTCAATCAACATATACTTTTCCTTCAATCAACATATACTTATCCTTCCATCAACATGTACTTATCCTGAAATTACTATGTACTTATCTTAGGATCAGCATGTTCAGAACCTTCAGCAGTTGCTGCAGGACTTCTTGGAAACCTCGGATACAAGCGAGGACAACGAGTCCAATACTAGCCAGGTATGAGGACTGAGAGTTTAGTGTTAAACTTGGGCTGACGTTTTTTAAACATTTAATTTGTTTGTAATTGTTTAAATAAGTGGTTTAAACCATGATCCCAAAATATTTGTAAAAGTCATAATAACGTTCCTGGTGATGATACATAAACCCCAATCTTGTCCTGTTGATATTTATGACTTAAAAAACCATGGGAAAATGTTGCAAGTGTACCAAATCTAATGCCTCAGCCATATTTGCGCAACCTCAAGTAATTTTTTAAATCATGAGAAAATTACGTTAAAATATTAGTCATTTTTTAAAGTATATTCTTGAGAGAAAATTATTTGAAACTCAGCTTTATTCTATTTTTCATCTTATTATATTTTAAAGTTTAAAATTTAGTCCCTTCATTAATTTTATCTTTAGGTGATCCAGTTATCTTTTGTCACTAGCTTTCTTTTGTCATTAGCTTTATTTTTTTAGCTTTCTTTTGTCATAAGCAGTGCTTAGGATCCATTTAATTTTAATGCGGATCCGGATCCTGGATCCGCACCGGAAAAATGGATCCGGATCCGGCTCGAGATCCAGGTCATTTCTTTTAAGATTTACTGAATTTTTTTAACAAAAAATAATTTTAAAATTTTGTAGTTTTTTTTTCGCTTATTTTTATCCTAAAACTTCAGAAATGAGGAAATTTTTAAAATCTCTCTTTTTTCAAAAGTTCAGGTTTGTGTTTTAGGAGTAAAAAATGTTTTTTTGCAGCTTTTTGTTGATATTTTACCTCTTGGATCCGGATCCATGAATCTATCACTAGATTTTGTTGTCACACGCTGTTCTTCGTCACTTTCTGTCATCACTGGCTATCTGCCGTTACTTTCTGTTGTCAGTAGCTCTTTTTAGATTTACAGTTCTAATTAGATATTGGCAGTAAAACTACAAACTCTTTATTTGAATTTTGAATTTTAGAATTCGTCACCTGTTCTCCGCTCCATAATTGTCACCAAGCCTAAAGGTATGTTTAATAGGGGACACCACGAAGAAGTGGAAACTTGACAAAATCAAAAAGCGCATAGGTTCTTTGGGTGATGTCAACCTTCACTATTGTAATGCAAAAGCATTTTTTGCTCCAACTTGATGAACTTAGGTGGAAGTAGTTTCAGGGAAAAATTTCAATTTTGTTAAGGATAGAGAGACAATTCGACACTTAGTGACCATGCATTTGTTTCTAACAAATTGAGACAAGATTTTGCCTGCAAAAGTCTGCAAAATCTTGATTTTTGATGGAGGTCCGATGCCAAATTTTCTTTGAGATCCGTGTAGAGGGCCACAATGGGAGGCTGCTTGCAAAATTTCAGCCTTGGATCTCACTTTTTAGAACCAAATGCAGCCTCTACAAAATTTAACGTCACAAAGGGTCAAATTGTCCCCCTATCCTTAACAAAAATCGAGATTTTTTCATGAAAACGACTTCCACCTGATGCAATGCTCCGATCAACCTTAAATTTTCACAAAATGGTCATATTGGACCACATCACCCATAAAAATTATGCATCAAAAATAAAATTTAACCCCCTTCATGTGACATTCTAATGTTTAAGATCACCTATTATTTTTTTGTTCATCCATTTAAAAATGCTTTGAAAAAGCCACTTAATAGTATAATTTTTTATTACAAGCTTTGATAGATATAAATTATGAATTAAAAGAATATTAGTAAAAAAAAAATACGTTCTTTATATCAAAAATTTTCAGAGAAAAAGATGTTTATAATCTTTTTGATATTTTTAGAACCCCCTCTTACCTGGGAGGTTCAGAATATGGACTCGCAGACGAACAACATGGTAAGAAAACAAACTGTTTTTTTGGAGAAAAATATTTCTTATTATTTTTCCAATAAGGTTGTAAATGATCTAATTTTTCTTTGATAAAAATGAAAATTATTAAAGAGCGCAAAAATATCTAGCTAAACTATTCAATTATGAAAATAGATGTTTAATATTAAATTAATTAAAAACATGTGAAAAGAAAATTGAAAATTTTACACCCTGCTTTTAGTCAATTAAAACATTTTCACTCTGCTAGGGAGTTGGATGCTTTATATTAACCCTTCAGAAAATTAAGAATAAGTGCTACATTTTTCTGAAACATTATTTTTTTTGCATGTTTTTATCCTAATTTTAAACTAAACACAAAATGTATCATTCATTCCTTTCTGATTGTAGCAGCCCTATAGGGTGTTGGGGGTTTTTAACAAAGAGAATAGAATATATATTAGAGTGGAATTTACTAGAAAAAAGTGTAGTGTAAAACGGCCATTTTGTTGTACTGTTTCCATACTACAGGTGTACTTCACATGTTTGCGCTTTATAACTTTTATAGGAAATCTAAAATTAATATTAAAGAAAACCAAATTATGAAATAGGCTGGTTTCATAATTGACCAATGATCATTTCACATAGACTCTATGCCTTTCACTTTACAAACGATGATTTTCCGCTATAACTATAAATCAAATGATGATTTTATTCACCTAATTCATTTTATAAAGTTTATTTAACAGCTTTATGAATAATATAAAGACTAAACACTGGTAATCACAATCAAGAATAATATAAAGACTAAAGACTGGTAATCACAATTAGGAATAATAAAGAGACTAATCACTGGTAATCTCAATTAGGAATAATAAGAAGACTGAATACTGAAAATCATGTTTAGGAATAATAATGAGACTAATCTCTGGTAATCACAAATAGGAACAATAAAGAGACAAATCACTGGTAATCGCAATTAGAAATAATGAAGAGACTAATCTCTGGTTATAACAATTAGAAATAATACGAGAGACCAATCTCTGGTAATCACAATTTTGAATTATAAAGAGATTAATATCTGGTAATCACAATTATGAATAATAAAGAGATTAATCTCTGGTAATCACAATTATGAATAATAAAGAGAGTAATCTCTGGTAGTCACAATTGTGAATGATAAAGAGACTAATCTCTGGTAATCACAATTATGAATAATAAATAGACTAATCTCTGGTAATCACAATTAGGAATAATAAAGAGAATAATCACTGGTTATTATCACAATTAGAAATAATTAAACACTGGTAATCACAAATAGGAATAATAAAGAGACAAATCACTGGTAATCACAATTTATAATGTTAAAGAGACTAATCTCTGGTAATCACAATTAGGAATATTAAAGTGACTAATCTCTGGTAATCACAATTAATAATAATAAAGAGACTATCATTAACGAAAAGACGGGTTCTTTGATTAATTTGAAAAGTTTTGGCTAACATACAGGGTTACATCCAATGGATGAGACTTCAGAGACGATTGTACGGAATTTATTCTGTCTGTTTTCTTGTATTCATGTTTCCCTGCAAATTTAAACTTTTGTGTTTCGTTGCCAAATCATTAAATAGCTATTAAAAGACTACATTCAAGACAGAACACAAAATTTAACCTTGAAATCGTCATATTTTAGGAATTTTAAGTAGTCTTTGCAGTCTCATCGATTGTAACCCTGTATTTTCTTTTTCTTGAAAATGTTAACATTGGGGTTTTACGAAGGGTTCTGCCATGAGGAAAAGAAAAGAACGAACTCTAAGCCTGCCCGCCCTGGCCCTAGTTGGTCCACCCTCCGACAAGAAGAGGAAGGTGACCTACGACGAGAAAAGAATGGACAAGCTGGAGGTGGTCAGTATGACAGCCTCCAGTGGAATTGGTTCTGAGTGTACCATCAACCTGGAGGGTCATATGACACCATCATTTCCTTCAGAGCCTAGTATGCTTAACTCTAAAAAAAGGTAATTCAAACCCCTCTGAATCATATCTAATTTCTAATATGTCCATTTAGATTTTAGTGACCTTCCACTCACTATTCACAACGATTCTTGTAACATTAATCTATGCAAAAATGAATATTCTTTTGTTTCTATCTGGAAATTTATAATTTCCAATTATGGCCTTTATGTAATTTCAGCAGTGGCAAACAAAAAATTTTCAGAATTTAGCACATTCCCAGGGTGGCCAAAATGTACGGATTGTACGGATTGATTTTTTTTAACCCTAAAATTGTACGGATTGTACGGATTTGTTTTCAAATTGTACGGATTGTACGGATTTTTATCCTGGAAAATACACCGTTTTTTTAAATTTTCACTCATTTCAGCAAATTTTTCATGAAAATAAAAAAAATTTCTCGTCAAAATGAAGTTAGTTTAACTTATTTTCTGCATTCTAAATAATATTAGATTGATTAATGTTTCAATTGACAATCAAAATTCATTCATAATTTTCGAGATATGTCCAAGAAGTGTTTATTTGAGAATATGTTCCATAAGTACTTATTTGATTGCTTATTCAAGAAGATGTTCCAGTATCCTGTACCCAGTATCCT